CGGGGACGAGGCGGGGAGGAATATTCCTCCCCTCGGGGCGGGGATGGGGGAGATTTTCTCCCCATAAAATTTCGCGGGGAATTTTCCCCGCCCCGCGGGGATCCCCATCCCCGCGAAAAATTAAAAAAATATATATTTTAAATTTAATTTAATATTTAAAATAAAACCTAAACCTAACCCAAACCTAATTCAATAAAAATTAAATTTTACCAAACCCAACCCAACCCAATCCAACCCACAAATATCCAACCCAACTGGCCAACCCATCCGGCCAACCCAACAATCCAACATCCTCCTTAGTCCTTACAAGTTCCAACCCTAATTTCATAACTTTGGTAATTTCCCCTCCCTTTCTCCTCACTCACATCGCAGCCACAGCCCCTCACTCACTCTTGCTTTCAGCCGGCCAATCAAGCTCTCAAGTCTCACCTCACCTTCAACCTTCCTCTCCCCTTCTTGCTGCTACAAATCTACTGCAAATCTGCTGTTGGAGCTGTTACAGATCTGCTCCTGGAGCTGCTGTCAAAGCTGTTAGCTGCAGCCTGCAGATCTACTGGAGTTCATCCTGCTGACTGCTGAACTTTGTCTCTGCGCTTGCTGCTTGTGCCGGACTTGTTCTCTGTTGCTTGCTGCCTGTGTCGGACTTGTTCTCTGTTGCTTGCTGCACTGTGCCGGACTTGCTCTTTGCTGCTTGCTGCACTGTGCTGGACTTGCTGCACTGTGCTGGACTTGCTGCTTGTGCCGGACTTGCTGCCTGCTTGCTGCACTGTGCCAGACCCCTCTCTGCTTGCTGCACTATGCCGGACCCCTCTCTGCTTGCTGCACTGCGCCGACTTGCTCTCTGCTTGCTGCACTACGCCGACTTGCTCTCTGCTTGCTGCACTACGCCGACTTGCTCTCTGCTTGCTGCACTACGCCGACTTGCTCTCTGCTTGCTGCACTATGCCGAACTTGCTGCCTGCTTGTGTTAGATTCTCCACTGACTTAATATTGGTTTCTATCGGTTTCTATTGGTTTGTTAGGTGATGTTAGAGTACATACTATATAGTATATAATTGTTAGCAACCTCAATTTGGAGCAATTTCTCTTTCGTTTCCTTCTCGTTATCTGCTTGACTTTTGATTCTATATATATAAACTATATACTATCTCTGGTGATATACGAATCCTATCCCTGGTATTGTATTGTTGTTTTACCTCAATTTTTCATTTTTCTTATACTATTGGCTACTGAATTATTTGACTTCCTTTTTGTTTAGTATATTTTTTGACAGTGGAAAAGGAAAGTAATTAGCAGAAATAAATTTTTCTTAATTGTGAAATAGGCATTAGTCATCTAGATCTGTTATATTGTTTGTTTGCATGCTTTCTAAGCAAAACTAACGGTCAGCAGGGAAATGCAAAGAAAAGTCTTAGCCTAGTCAGAAAGAAATTCACTGACTTAATGTCCAAGATTGAATTAGAATATATAAGGAGCTCTTACTGTGAGAGTCTCCACTCCTAGTCTTGAAGCTCTTGTTAAAAGAAAGGCAGTTTCGCTCATATCACCATCTGCTGCTAGAAAGGGAACTGAAACCATATCAGCTCTTTTATTATTGATGTTTTTTTTGTTGAAAGTGAATCATAATACGTTGCTTAGATATTACCAGATTATGTTTATACCTCTTAATTCCTTTTTTTGTTCTTGTTGGCAAACTTTATCATCTTTCACATTTTGTGTCTTATGTTTATACCTCTATGTAACTTTATTTTTTTTACTTTTAGGAATATATTATTATTCATGTAAAGTTTCTCCATACCATCCTGTGTATGTTATAATCACGTGTTTCTTTATGTGTGATGCAAATGAAAAAGATAAATTGTAACTCAGTGCATGTGGATGTGGCTCCCTACTTTCTTTATGCACTGGAAAAATGAAAAATGACAGTATCACGATTTGATTATGTTGGATTAATTTCTATGTATATTTGGAACAATTTATGTTTGGAACATGTTGCTTTATGTTGGATTAATCTCTATTTGGAACAATTTTATTGATTTAATTATGTGTTAAATTAATTTTTATTTATGTTTGATGCAAAAAATATATATTTTGTTATTAATTGGTGGGGAATGGGGATCCCTGCGGGGAACGGGGACGGGGGGCAAAATCTGCCCCCTGTCAAAAATCCCCGCGAGGATCCTCGTTCCCGCCATTCGCAGGGATGGGGACGGGGAGGCACTCCCTGGCCCCGCGGGGCCTCGTTGACATCCCTAGTTCCAAGGAACCCAAGCGCTTGGTTCAATGGAACCCAGGCACGAGTTCTTTCGAACCCAGCGATTGGGTTCCTTTGAACCTAGTCACTGGGTTCAAAAGAACCCGTGCCTGGGTTCCATCGAACCTAGTGCTTGGGTTCCTTGGAACCCCAATGCTTGGGTTCAAAAGAACCCGTGCTTGGGTTCCAACAATTCTTGTGCTTCAGTATATTCTATTGTTCCCCCCTTTCCTTTTAAGATTCTTGTGCTTCAGTATATTCTATCTGGGTTTTTAATAGATCTTGCTTTTGTGTTTAGTGAGTTTTATATGGGTTTTGTGTTTGTTTGCGGGGTGTTTGTTATTGAATTGAAAACTCATGAGAGAAGGATGGTTGGTGTTTTTGGCTTGATTTGATGTTGTTGATTTATATTATGTTTTAATCTTGCTATGGTTTGTGGTCTGGATTTTTCTTTTTCTTTTTCTTTTTTCAATTGCTTGTCTTGCTTTCTGCTTTCTTGGAACCCCAAGGCTTGGGTTCGAAAGAACCTGTGCCTGGGTTCCAAGGAACCCAAGCGTTGGGGTTCAAAGGAACCCAGGCGTTGGGTTCCTTCGAACCCAGTGGTAGAAAATTAAAAAAATTTCTTTTTTTTGTTTTGTTTGTGAGTTTTGTTATTTGATGATGATGATGAAGCCACAAGGGTAGAGATTAGTTGAGATGTTTGGATTTGTAGAAGTTGAAGAAAGAGAAAGGAAAAGAGGAAAGGAAAATAGGAAAGGGAGGAACAAAAAAAAAAAAAAAATTGTTGGAAAGGATCCAAGTTGGACTTGCTGACATGTTAAAAAAAGTCTAAGTTGGCGTTGACATGTAACTCTATAATGGAAATAACAATGCACGTGTAGTACGTGATCGTTTGACGTTAAATTTTGCCTCATTTCCCCAAATTAGAAATCACAAAGGGTAAAAATTCATATATTGAAATATAAAAAGTAAAATGCTTCAAATTCAAAATCTTTAAGGGCAAACGGGTACCTTTTACCGGAAATAAAGTCTATAACATAAACACCGATTGCCATCCTCTTCGTTCCAAATAGACCTGGTTGGCAAACACAAGGGATTGGTTGGCTTTTTGGATTGGGTCATTTCGGTCTCGGGTGAAAAAGGTAAATCCATAATTCATATAGATGGGTATCAAATTGGGTCGGGTGGACTCAATTTTTTAAAAAATTAAATTTTTTAATTTTTTTTTATTTTTTTAATAAAATCTAATACTAATTAATTATTTAGTTAAAAAAACTTTATTATTAATTAACTGTTTAGTTAAAAAACTTATTAAATGTTAATTTCTATTTCATAATTCAATTTTTTTCCAATCTCAAGAAAAGAAAAGGAAACTATTAGTGATTATATAGGCGAAACTAAAATATCTGTCAAATATATAATACTTTACAATATTTAAAATTCATAATTTTATAAAAGTATTAACCTTCATTAAAAGAAAAAACATGAAGGATTCGAGTTCAAAGGACAAATCTAATATATATATTAATATCTAGTGTCTATTCAATATTTATAAGAGTATTATACAAAAAATGCATTTCTATTCAATATTTAGGATGATATTATACAAAAAAATATAACTTTATTTAATATTAAAGTTTAAAAGGTAAATCCAAAATATGTTTAACCAAATACAAGAGAAAATTGGATCGAAATTGATTTTTATTAATTAAGAACAAATTAACAACTAAGAACGGACTTTGATGTTCTTGATGTTTTTATCTTTGTACTTTTAATGGTTATGAGGGTACCTTAACCACTGTATTTTGATTTTCAATAGGCATTCTTACTTTTTATTTTTTAAAAATAATCTTTTTTACGATGTCATATAATATAACTTATTATTTATCACCTAATCTAATTTTTTACGCAAATGCCACCAAAGAGAAGGATTAGAGAGCTTGAGATGAAAAAAGGGAAAGCGAGAGTGGAAAAGAGGAAAAGTTGAGAGAAAGTGAAATTGATGAGGGATTAGGGTTTGAATATTTTATTTATTTCTATTTTTAGAATTAAGAAATTAAAAATTAAAAATTAATTTTTAAATAATATAATAAAAAATGAATAAAAAAATGTTCGGGTCATTTTGAGTGAGTCAATCCACTTGTGACCCAAGCTATTTGGATTCGGATAATTTCAGTCCAAATCATTTCAAATTTCGAATTAACACGTATGACCCATGACCTTATTCATGGATAGGTTGGGTAAAATTTTTGGATTGAATCCAATTTTGCCAAGTTTAGTTCCAGATAACTCACTATTTTGTTAATATCATTTACTTATTTAGTTTAATTGATATTTTATTTATTTATATTTTTAAATATTTAATTATAATACTTAAAAATATTAATTTATAAATTTATTTTAATATATTAAATAATAAATTAATTATTTTATTAATTATTATGTATTTTTAATAATTAAATAAAATAAAATTAAAAGATTTTATCAAAATAAATAATGAATAACTATAACTACACTAATATCCTTTCTCGTTCTTATAATAATTTATTGTTGGTAATAGTATATAAAAATATTTTCTACGTAATTTTTATTATAATTTTTATATGATATTTAATAAATAAATATAATATAATATAATGAGTCTCAATAAAATAAAAATAATAACTATTAAATAATATGTAAAATCAAAAAACAAAGAAAATTGGGATATTTTAAAACTTAAAATGTTAAAACAATAATGAAAATTTTTTAATATTTTTAATAAATTAACATTTAAAAAATTTTATTAAAAATATTTAAATAAATTCATAAGAAGTTATAACATTTAAAGTTAATCACTTTTCTCATAAAATTAGATAACAATTATATATATATTTTTATCTCCCAATCATTTTTATTTTTTTTACATAAAAATTAAAACTAGAATTTCAGCTTA